GAACATTTAATTTTTGGTGTTAAGCGACCATGTAGGGGACTGTTAATTTGAAGTTTCTTATAAATAAATAGTTCAAATCAAAATATATAATTTTATAACAACATCTGTGTTTCTTTTGATATGAGTCCGCCCTTCAAATCAGCTTTAAAAACTTATATATACTATGCGTTGAAAATTTATACAGAAACTGCGGCCCATATCGTTTTTTTTTTTAAATGCAACATGCACTGGCAATATAAAAGATCTCCCATGCCTTGTGATCATATGATTTATTAAACCATGAGTTGTGTGGTCTTGTTCTCGAGCCTTAGCGAGGGGATAAAACACATAACGGGTTGGATAAAAATTATACCTAACCATAAACTATGAGAGATTCTTTTATCACATGTGTTACACAGTTTTGTATAATTAAATGTATGTAAATCCACCATATTTGGACTTGATCAAATTCACGCACAAACCATAGCGACGTCACAACAGATGTATGTAAGTCCATAATATTTGGACTTGATCAAATTCACTCAAAAACCATTGCCACGGCACAAAAGGGAATATGAAAAAGATATCCTTAGAGTTATATGCATAAAGGAGTAAACATACGATAAAATGGAGTATTCAGCAATAGTTTACTAAAAAGGAGAAATAGGAACATTCAACTCTAATAAACTGGAAAGTAAACATACATGTAAGGGTGTAAAACAGGGGCCAACTGCACAAAAATATAGGAGTATCCAACAATGGACAACTGAATTTAAAGGAGAGTTTAACATTGGTCATCTATATGCATATAGCAGTATTCAAAAGTGGCTTACTATATCCAAATGAGTAAGCCGCTCGTAAAAAATCACTGAATTGTAAATTGACGTTATTTGACAACGAATAGTAAACTGAATACTGTTAATGAATTCTCATTAATAGTCTTTTATTAAGCAGATAAGATTAGAGCATCTGTGCATGCACATGTTTTCTACATTTCTCATATATATACTTTCTCATAGTGTCTCACAAAATATATCTTAGTGATAGATATCAGCATTTTGAATTGAAATATGAAAGAGATACAACCATTTTATCATTAGCCAATCAAAATTCAGTTCGTTTGCATAGTTACATGTTCTTTGCATTCTTTTGTTAGAATCGCAATGCCGGGGAATATAATGTATTTCCGATTATTATTAAAAAATATATTTATAGAAATGCTGCATTATTTCAAATCTGTCAAAATAATAGTTTTTGATAAATAAATAGTGATTGGTTTATACCTGACTGTAATGTAATGGCAGCTGCTGAAGCAGCCAGGAAAGAAATGTTGCTCGTACTAAGATAAATGCTGTCTTTCTTACCTCTCCTTTTTCCTGTTATTTTTTTTTCTTCTTCCTGGTCTAAAGGGGGTATTCAAATATCCGTTGCAGTCATCTACTGATTTATTGTACATTAGATTTCTAAATTCAATTGACAGACAGAGGACTCATGGTGTGGTCACTAAGTAAACAGACTTTATGTAATAATTGTATTTAAAAATCCCTACCATGCAACGTTAGCATTAAAATGTAGACCTGTGCTTAATGAAACAAATCATTGAATTTTCATTGTTTATGATTAAATGGATTACAAACACGTTTTAAAAAGTAATTTAGAAAGGTTTCTTATCTGTATTGTTCTCTGTTATACATATAGTGGTACGTAAACACGAGTGAAAAATTGAATATATCGCACGGAGGATTTGTAAACCAAGTAAATAAAAAACTTAACTTGAGAAAAAGTTACCCAAATCTTCGTATGCAGTAGTGAGAATGATGTCCTAGTGTAAATCCAAATAAAACCGCATCTCAAGGAAAGATAACCCGACATCAGACGTCTCCTTTCAGTTTATTACCGAAAAGTTTAAATAAATTAGTGGTCCAAAATCACCCCCTCCTGAGGAGGTGAGGGAAGATTTGAACAAACTTGAAGCTACACCAAATATGTTTCAATATTTCTTTCACTGCTTTAAACCCTGGACCTTCCGATCACGAAGCGAGAGTTCTACCGATTGGTCTTGAGAAGATTTGTAAAGATGTTCCCATACATTCCTATGTAAAACTTTGATCACCCATTGTTGCTCTCCCCTATCCACATTATCTAGATTTGAACAAACTTCAATCTACACAACCTGAGGATGCTTCCATACAAATATGACTTATCATGCGCTTTGCTGATCTTGAGAAGAAGACTGGCCACCTACATTTATTCTGACCCTTTCGACCTCAAGGGATCTAGATTTGGAAACTTTTGAATCAACGTTACCTGAGGATGCTTCTGAATTTATAAGAAATAAATTACTAAATAATGATTTGCCCTTCTTGAGAAGATTTTTTAAGATTTTTTTCCTGTGTAAAATTTCGATTGCCTATTGTGGCTCGCCCTTACCTGGTGGTCATGATTTGAAAATAATTGAATCTACACTACCTGAGATGATTCCATATAAATATGACTTATCATGGCTTTGCTGTACTTGAGAAGAAAATGTTTAATTATTTTTCTATGTCAAATTTTATCGCCCATTGCAGTCAGACCATACTCTCATACCATACTCTCGGTGAGTCATGATTATAACATGCTTGAATCTATACCATGAATATGACTAATTACGGCTTTCGTATTCTTGAGAAGATGTATACCTATGATAACTTTAAATTACCCATTGTGGCCCCGCCCTACACATGGGGGTCATGAATCTACATTAAATTGAGAATGCGTCCACACGTTTCATTTTTGTAGTCCAATGGACCTTGAAATGAAGATATTTAAAAGACGCAATTAGTTTTTCACTAATTCGTAATTATATCCTCTCAGAACAAGGAGTGACCTTCATTTTAATAAATTTGAATCCAATTTACGCAAGGACACTTTGTGGCAAGTGTGGTTGAAATATGCCCTGTGGTTCTTGAGAAAAAGTCGAAAATATGAAAAGTTAAGAGACAGACGGACAGAAGGACAGCTAGGCAGACGGAAAGAAAAGGAGACGTTGAGACTTTTTCACTAAGCGTCCCCCTCCCCCCGACACACATGGGATATATGAGTAAAATGAAATTTAAACAATTGAACAAACTAAAATGTGATTGTGAACAGTAATGAAAAGCAAAAAGATGTACGATATATAGTAAAATTCATTACTGACAGTTGTTAAAAACATTTAATGTTTATACAGTAGAAAGTTCAGGTTTGAAATGATTTAAAAACAACTTTGCTTATTCTTTTAGTTCATATACATCAGATGTATCCTTCAAATCATAAAAGAAAAATTATGTTTGTATTAATAAATATTTTTATAAATATATTTATTATAAATATGAATAATAAATAAATATTTCTACGTATAAATTTCTGTTTTTCATTCTTAAGAAAAGGACACTTCAATAAATGATGAAACTCATCACCAAGTTAATATTACAGGATCTGTCCATACAATAAAATCTTCAATTGTCAGATACATAAAATCGATTTTCCCTTTGAATTTCTTTTGGATGAATTCGGAGATGGCGTATTTACGGTGAAGGTTTTCTACTTTCATCTACATGTCAAATGTCATGAGAGAATGTTGCAGGGTAGATTTAGTCACTTTCAACTTTGAATTCAGCAAAATAATTGTTAATTTTATCCAGTTGTTGCTGTAGAGTATGCAACTGTTTGGTCTTCGTTTTCAAAGCTTTGGTTTTAAGATTTCTGACGACCTCGTGAATCATTTGGTGCCATTTTTCTCCATGTTTTACTTTTTTTTATAGAAATTTTCATATTCAACATCTAACTGCTTCTTTATATTTTATTCATCTAGGTAGATTGTATAAATTGTATCAAATATTTTATTACCTTGTACCTTTTTCTTTTCTTTTTATTCCCCACCCCCTTTTTCTTTTTCTTTTTTTTTTTTTTTTTTTTTTTTTTTGGAAGATTTTCAACAAACTTTGACCCGCATGCAGTTCAGATTGAATACACTTAATGCAGGATGGGACATCACAATATATAATTGCAGTACAGAAAGTATTGTTCTTTGTCATGAGAAGAACATTGAGAGTAGAATGGACTTGGTCTTTGAAAAATAAAATTCACAATTTGCTGTTTTTCTGGGATTCAGCGGTTCTTATATGCTCTCCAATACAGATTTTACACAGATTAATGTGCCATATATCGCAGTGTTCCGAATCAGTCTTGCATTAGTGACATCTTTTGAACTCTATGTTATTCACAACATTATATAAAAGATGCGTATGGCTTTATTTGACGAATGGGCAGGTTAATTGGAGTCTATTCTTATATTCAATGATAATTGTGAAAATGGGCAGAATTAAGAAATATAATGGAGAGCATAGGATTTATATAATTATGTGATGCTTGCTAAATCTTTTGCTTATGGTAAATTGGATTTTGTATAAATTACCTTTTAGCGATATACTTTTACAAGCTTGATTATCAGTTGTTTCAAAGATAAAACCTATCTTAATAGGTTTTCTTTCATTAAATTTAATTAAACCATTTAAATTATCAATGGTTCAATGTATCAAGTGCAGGTCCTTATGGGTAACAAAGAAGTGAGTTGCTTAATTTATTAATTCAGCTATATATTTTACAGATTCATTTATTAAGCTTCAGTTTATTGATGTCTTCAAACAAATGGCTCATCAGATTGCAAACAATGCATTTTACTTTCAAGAGGTTTGGACACAGATTTGAAGTTAAAACTTTCTAAAATTTTCTGTACAATATCATGACTTATTTGTTTCTAGGGCATTTCAGACTGATATGTTGATCTAGATGAGAATTAAAATTTTGTAAATTGAGATACATAAATGTTTTTTTTTAACGTGAATAAACCTTTTTAGCATATATTATGACGGAGTAGCCTGGTTCCGGCCTATCCATAATGCTCCTACTGTGCGGAGCTTTATGGGTAGGCCGGACCCAGGCTAATGACGAAGTCTACAACTGCCATCATTATATGTTTTAAACGTGAGATGTGACATTCACTGTTGATATTTGATTTTCTTTACTTGTCTCTCGTAACATTCAGTGACAAACAGATTGTCATATGTATCTATACATAATCCCCAAGGATGAAAAAGTTCACACTCTATGAAACAAAGGAATTGTCCATCCTGATCTATGATGTGGATACAATTATTTTCACAGTCAGCTGCAAGAATGTGACTTTGACTATCTGTGGTGATACCATGTAGATCAAATGGATTGCTCTTTGAACAAGATTTATTACCAGTGTACCGGAATCTCGGTTTCCCTTCAGAATTGACCACCACTAATGCATTAGCGCTTGTGTCAGCAACACATATATCTCGGTTCCTATTTTCAATGATGTATTTGATTTCACCATATAAGTAGATAGGCTTACCATCATCATCAAGCTGAATGGTTTGTTTCTCTCTGTAGTCAGAATAACGGACGACTTTTGATGGTTTCTTATCCTCGCTATACATGGTAACCAGTAAGTCACCAGGGGAGATACTACAGACTCCGAGGGGTAACCAGTTCTGTAGTCTGATCACTGTGACCATCTCACCATTCTTTAAAATATTCACAGTTCTGTCTTTACGATCAACATAAATGAGTTCTCCTTGTTCTGTCACTGCAATGCCACTTGGGCACTCTCCTGACTTGGTTTGGGTTGACTTTAAAGATGAATCCATGTTTACGCTGAAGAGTTTCATGGTGTTCTCATCTCCACTAGTCCAAATTTCCTCGTCATTGCGACATACAACATTAAAAAGATTATACTTGTACGCAGTCTTAATGATAGCGATAGTCTCTGGTTTATTGAGTAGCTGTTTGGTTAGAGGAGAGGATTCATCATCTGATGATTTCTGTGTTTTCTTCAAACTGTAACCATGTTCTTCGGGAACTAAAGACATTGGCGACAATGCTCCAAACAGCTTATTGAATTCTTCCTGTTCGATTTTCCTACGGGTGAATAAAGGTAAACATGGAATTATCCTTGGGGGAAGATGTTTTTAGTCATCTACATTGGATTTAACACCAAGTGGATTTGAAATTTCGTAAGAGTCCACGGCAATATCGATTGAATGAATTTCATCTTTAATTTCAGTAATTCTCTCGTGGATTTTATCCCGGTGTTTCTGAAGAGTTTGTAGCTGTGTTGTTTTCATCTCATTGGCTTCGGTTTTAAGTTTTTTGACTACATCGACAATTCCGTTACACCAGTCATCTCCATGTTTTGTTATAGCTGTTGCGATATCTCCGTATTCCTTTTCTAACTGCTTCATCATATTTTCTACATCATTTTCAATGTCATGGTAGGTAGGATAAATTGTTTCATTTAATTCATTTCCCTCTTTGATGATATTCTCTTTCTTTTCATTCAGAATTCGCAAAATGCTCTCTATCTTATGACCCAAATGGTGGTCAGATATAATGCAGCTAATACAGACGGGAACATCACATTGATTACAGTACATTTCACATCGTTTTTTGTCATGGAATGTACATCCAGGATAAAGGAGAGTGGATTGTCGAAACGTAAATTTAACAATTTCATGTTTTTTGTTGGATTCATCAGACATTGTGTGTTCTCCAACACAAGCCTTGCATAGGCTAAAAAGGCATGTATCACAGTGCATTTGCACCATGTTAGTCTCACACATGTCGCAACGCAAAATGTCCTGGGCACTTAAGCGCTGGGCCATGACTCGAAGCGCAGTACAGTTAAGGCTACCCATGAAACTTTTATGGTAATGAGGTCATAATGAGGTTTGACGTCATGACAGTCGCTCCGCCCTGATATATCTATATAAGGAATTAGAGCTCAAAATAACTATTTAACGACAATTGCAAGAATTTGTAACAAATGTCCGTATTCTTGTCTCTAAATAAATTAGACGTAGTGATTTTCTCTTGTTTAGAACATCATGTTGTCGAAATAATTCGCTTTTTATTGTGTCGTTTGGCTGCACTCGGCTTCAGCCAAGCGCTTGCACTCAGTGACACGGAATGTTGTTTACATAAAGGACGTGGAGACAGCAGCTGAGATTTGCGGTGGAAAATACAGCAAACAGGTAAATCTTTTAAAGAGAACAGTAATAAAGTAACAAATTTATGGTTTGTTTATCAGATGATGCAGATATTTAGAGAAGTCATGGACTACTGAGGCTATTGCACCCCACCTCTCTACCCTGGGCAGCTGCAGGGGTTTTCATATTTGTACGCATAAGTATAAGTATCAAGATTATGTACGCATAGGTATCAAGATTTTGACATACTATTGTTAACATCAATATGAAATAATCGAGTGTATATGTATAATATGTATACATGTAGCAAGATATATTGGCAGTGCCCAGGAGCTGTGTCTACCCCCCCCCCCTTACACACACAACACACACAAACATGATATGAAGTTGCACACCAACAGTTTAATTTGCACTGAATATGCAATTCCTTGTCGTTCAACTAATTTTTGAGAGAATGCATGTATCATGGAGATCTGCAGGCATGCAAAAGTTTGCTGTTAAATTTATTAAAATTAATTATTGTTCAATTTCAATCATTGATAAAAGATTCACTAGACATATAATTATGTTGATATACAATCATCTAAATATGTAATTTGAAAAGGAAAGCAGGATATCAAATGATAATTTAGCACATCCATGAAGTGTATATTTCTGTAAAGTGAAACTGTATTGTGTATGTAATATACATGCATATATGCATTTTATACCCCAGTCCTGTAAATCAAAAATAGGATTTAAAGTTTAAATTTTCACCAGCTAGTGTTTCATACTTTAAAATAATTCTCAGCATCTGTATTATGAAATTCTAAATCTGTAGAATGATATTTCTAAATTTAAAATTGAATATCATGTTATTTTATTTTTCTGGTCTGAATACATGATGTACAATTCTTTCATCATTGTAGCTGTCAGGTGCTGCATGCTTATAATCCAGGGTTATCTACAGAAAACATATGCAACAATTTCTAAACATGGTATGTTCACTATTAACATATTTCATAATAATTTTATTGTATGCCAATATAATAGTTTTTCAATTTTGAACAGATGCAAGAATTTCATTTATGAATTTGTTTCCTTTAATCACTTATTTTCCAAGCTTAAATTGTTAAATTGCAAATGGCAGAGTTTTAAAATTCCCAGAGAAGTTTTGTAACAAAAGATTTCATGAATTTTAGAAAATGTTACATTACATGGTTTGTTTTGCGCATTGTAGTGCCATTTATTTTAACTAATATGTATTTGACTCATTACATTTTTGGTATATTTTATGTTACAGTAGCTGTTCACAAAGAATTTGAACCATTCCAGTGTTGACACAGGCAGCAAGTGTATGGACCAAGTAAAAAGGTATGCTTAATGATATCAACAACACACATATTCATGGCACTATTATTTTAAAAATTATTTTAATAAATAAAAACAGCAGAGTTACAGATATTTGATACATTTCTATGTGATTTCATTAGATTTTACTCATTACATTGTTTCAAGTTTTACTGTTTTAATCACCAGCACACTTAATAATATTTCATTTTATTTTTAGAATGGATTTTATCCCAGAGTACATGTCTTGATGGAAAAACTATGCACCTGCTCAGAATTACCCTCACAGCCTGGCTTTGTATGGGAGAAGCTGTAGTTATTAAATAAATTTACTAGATGAATAATACGTTAACTGTTATCTTTCAATGGCAACAGTGATATGAATGTCAACTTTTAAGGCTGTAAAGGTGTGAAAATCCAGACTTGCATGAACATGGTGTTTTAGATACATTGAATCAAATAAAGCCTAATATTGGAATAATTATATATTTATCATGATCACTTGTATCAAAGAAGTATCTATTTTCTGATTACATTTTTATATCATTTAGCTCGGGTGCTTTCATTTTTTTAGAGAAAATATCAATCCCTAACCTTTTATACACAAGTTAATCACAGATAAGACCCCCCCCCTCCTTTTAAAAAACAAAATGAAAGCACCCGCTCTAAATGAGATGCAATGGTTATATCCTAATAAATAAAAACTAGATCATGATGTTTACAAGTTAACAATGCCCAAGTATATATCATTGTCCTTTTATCAAGGGAGCTAAGAAGCAAAATATAAGGGGTTAGATATGCAGAAAGGAGGATAGAACTAATTATATTAACAGGTGTAAATAACCCTCACCTGGTTTTTATATCTGAATAATTTTTAAGCCAACAGGAACTCTTAAACAAAAGAGGATTTTGGAGAGCCACTGAGGAAAACCCATATGTGAAACTTCATTCTGTTGTAGATATATATTTTTTATTATGTCTGGGGGGGGGGGGAGATGAATGGTTTCTCATCATATGAGGGAGGGGAGATCTACACGTTTATCTGAAATGATTGAAATTTAGTAATGGACATTTTTTCAATATTACTTATATGATGTACTTTGCGGCAGTGCCGATAAACTTGATTGTTATACATGTATACGTACATGATAAAGGCCTAGATCATCGAGAAAATGCGGAAGGTATTCAACAAGGTCTTGTCTGGTGTATGAAAAGGACGAAGACATACAAAGGAAAGTAATTATAGTCAAGATCTTTTATATGCATACCGTTTTGAATAAGTAAAATAAAGCCTAGCATAGTCTGTAGATGTTACATGTTCAAATTCGCGAGGTAAACAAACTCTACAAATACCAAAGAGTTACCTCCCGTGCCGGGTCACTAATGCGTTTGAAAACTATATTTAGAATGAATGTTTCAAGACTTCGATTTTAAACTAAAAAGTTCAAGGGCAAGGCGACATATGAAGAGGTAGTTTTTTGTATCAAATTGTTTATTTTACTGCATACTTTTTGAAAAGTGATGCTCATTTCTCTGTAATTCGCTAAGTAATTTATTATTTCACATGAAATGCGGAAAGTACCCTATTTTTTCAATACCGGTCTTTGTTTTTACTGAATAACTAAATAATACCAGAAATCTAACTGAATGAGCATTATTTTTGAGATAGGATAGATACTTGGGGACACATTGAAACCTTGTGCAGTGTATTTTTTCTTTGCCTTGCCCTTGAACTTTTCGGTTAAATTTGATATTTTATATCTTGAGCTAAAATAGGAGCCCACGTGACTACTAAGGGTCACATGATGACAAAAAATATCAATATTAAAAGCGAAGGACACACTCTTCAAGAAGACACAAATATATTTTCATTAGAGTCGTATGCTAGAAAATAAGAAGGTTAAACTTCAAGTGTCTTGTTTTCAGTGTCTTTTTATAGAAAATGTTGCCTTAACTGTACTGCGCGTTTGCCTATGAAATATATAAAAAAGCCTTCTTAAGCAATAAAATACTATAACTATAGTTAAGTATAGTGATAACTTTAATACTTTGATTAACTTTAATGATAACTATGAAAATTTTGTTTCACGATAGTGATCACTTTCATATTATAGTGATAATTTTGAAAACTTTCAATTACTACAATGAACACTATGAAAATTTTGATTTACCATAGTATAGACTTCTATCATAGAAAATTATATACAATAGTAATAAATTTTATACTTTGCATGACTGTTGCTATATCAATCCTAAAACTGATAAATTTGACACTTTGATTAACATATGAATAAAATATTTCTTTGAAAACATACTACATCGAAAACAAAGTATAGAAGCTGAATGTAAATTATAAAAAAAAAAATTAAAAAAAGAGAACACAATCATTCATTTGGGAGAGTTTAAAAAGACTTTCCCACAATAAAATTGATCTGACTATAATTTTGACAAAAATTAAGAATAGAATTTACACTGAAACCTTGTTCGGTAACCGAGTTAAAATTAAATTCGTTGAAAAAAGCACAAAACAAAACCAATTGGTTCAAAGTAATGTAAGGAAAGGAAATTGATTTAAATGTTGAGTTGAATTTTGTAAAGCGTAAACTCCATAGACCAAGCTTATACAGTGTACATTGTAAAAGCTATTAAATTCATTCTTTAATTGATTAATATAAAATTGTTGACTCTCAGTTAAATTTTTTGTAGCTGTGGAGAAAAACCCTTATGTTTCTTATTTACATGTACCTAGATAACGTACACTTTATCGTTTTCACTGCCTAAAAATTCTACACTGGATATCACTCTAAGAAAGGATGTATTCCCTTTCTTATTACGTCATATTTTGAACGATCCTTAGCTTTATTCTATGACTTTCTTTCACTCGCTTTCCCCTGATAAGTTGAAAAAAAAATAAGACAACGATTAAATATTTATTACGCAGGGGATTTCAAAAATTGCCATCCAATCAAATTGCAGTATAATATTTGAATTAGTGAAATTCATGTCCTGTGCTTTCTTGGCTTAAAGGTATTCAATGTATAGTGAGGGGATATTAAACAACTTTGAATCATTTTGAACTAGTTGAATTGTTTTGCTTGATAATGATGAAAGTAAAAATAAAGCAAATTCACATGATTGATAACATATACAAAGCCGGTCATTTTGCACTTAAAACGTTTTTGGAAAGTTATCTGCCTTTGATGAAAACAAGAAAATTTTAATTTTGTCAAAATATCTGTGGTAAATAATTCATTTTATTTCAAACTTCAATATAGGGAGAATTTATGCATATTTTCACCAAGAGATTTGTATGACGTTCAAATTACCTTCTTGAAAATCTTAATACC